TAAAATGTGAATAAATGCATTGCCTTTAGATTAGATTAACACAACCCTTTGAGTAGCGGATAAAGGGAGATGGAATGTATTTGTAAGGCATTTTCAGGTGGTTTATTCACAGTTGGGCAACGAGTTCCAACGATGATTGTATTTGTTTCTTTTCAGGCACTGAATCCCAGAATCAAAATAGGAAATAGTCCCAACAGAAAGATACATCAGTGATTCATCCCTGGACACAGAGCCTGGTCCTAGTTCCAGTTTGACTGCTTGGGTCAGTGAACGTGAATATCCTCAAGTCCTGATGGACCCCTCACAACTTTGCCAAACGACCCTGAGTGGTCTGCAGAACCATTCACAGACAATCAAACTATTGTACAGGTGCATGAACCAGAGACGCTATCTGGGCTGTCCATCCCAGATGAAAATGACACAATAAACATTTCCACCAATGAGAAACGATCTGACAGTGATAGTTTAAACTATTCATCTTGCAGCATGTCTCTTTGCTTAGAGTCTTCACAAAAGTCTGCCTTCGTTGCACCTTATTGTACGGATCCGTTGGAACCAGAAAGTGAAGCTGTATCTCCTTGCCTGATCTTTGCAGTGACTCTATTCCAGCTCTATCCAGTACAACAGAGCTGCATGTAGAACCAGAAACATCTCTGGTGTACTGCCTGAAGAACAAAATTAGTTTGCCTGAATCCCAGAATTTAGACATTGTTGAGGTTCCAGCACCTCTGTCAGATCTTTATATTTTTGAAAGCGACACGCGGGATTTCATCCTTACCAACACAAAAGATCGTCATAAGACCACACATCTTGAATACCAGTTAACATTGCAGTCGGGTGTCGGAAAGGCAGACCAAGACAGTGATGCACATGTCCCGATGTGTTATTAGAAGGCATTAAGACACAGTGTCAAAGTAGCTTTACAGAGGAACAAGTCTCAGAGACCAATGTGTCAGAGGCAAGCCAATCTGATGAGTTACGAGCACCTGCTGTGGATGCCTGGGAGGTGGACTGGATGTCGGAAAGTGATGTGAGATTTGTGAAAGCAGAGGTCACAGCTTTGACCCTGCAAAGGCAGCACAGTGTCAGCCCCGCCGAGCTCTGGATGGACGCGTGCCAGTATCTGACAGGTGAGGATGCGGGAGACAAGGACGTGGATCATCAAGCTTTAAGTGACTCCTTACAAGAGTCAGATTACAGTCCTGGTGACAACAGGAGGGTTGGCTGGTCACCAGTGGAGAGGTGGTCATCAGTGGACAGCTGGGCCAGCGCGCTCTCAGACTGGACCGGGGTTATTGAGGATCCGGCAGAAGAAATCACGGCCGCCTTTGCAGAAATAGGGGCTGAGATTGATGCTTTGACACAAGCACTGCAGGAGGTGAGCACTCACTTCGAGCCAGAGACGCTGCAAGACGATTTACGGGCTACAGAGGCGGAGGAAAGGCAGCAAAACTATGGGTGTGCAAGATCAGCCACTAAAAACCCCAGATATCCCAGAGAGTCTCATCCCTTCTGAACAAAGCTACCTTTCTTTGTGCCTTGACGCTTCAAGACCTGAACTTCATGACAGAGGAGTCTCCCAGCATGTTGCACCTCTGTGTACATGTAGAGGAGAACTAGAGGCAGAGTCCTCCCCGCGCTCCGCTCTGCAAAACATTCCGGCTGGATCATTCTCTGTGGGAGCAGATTCAGATGCTGGAATGACTGAAGTCACACTCAATGCTGGAACTGTGTCTCTGGGTTTTGGACCTCCCTTGGCTTGACAGATATTCAAGACCTTTGAACAAGATTTATTTTCTAGTGAAGATAACCATCCAATCGAGCTGAAAATAACAGAAGATGTGGATTTGAACACCAACAGAGACCTGGTGCTCCAGGAGGTAAGATATATTTTTAATTTGTGGCATTATTTGAGACAGATTTATGCTCAGTTTGGTAAGAAAAACTGTACGGCTTGATCTGTATCTGTTGATCACACTTACATACATTCAGAGCATTAATGACCTGTGTGAAAATGTGTTGGAGATGCTGGAAAGATTCAACCTTTACACCACAGCAAACAGCGAATGGCTTTACATTGTTGGCCAATGAATAAACTAGTTGCACATTTTGGAAACAAAGCAAGAATGTTAAGAGACATTCCTGCTCATGTCCTTGTGATTGCTGCCATACCTTCAGCCAGTCTGTCACGCATACACCCTCCACACACGAGGCTGAAGCCACCTGGGATTTGGACTTTTATCCTGCATTATTTGGATTAACCCTTTTGGCTTCCATCTGAAAACCCGACAGTCGAGGAGCACTGCAGGATCAGAGGAGCCTGAAAAGAAGACCTCAGACAGATAGAAATGGCATCTAATAATAGCTGACAGTTCATTGATAATAGCCTGCATCTGCGGTGTGTCAGGGTAGAGGGGTGAGAGGAGAGCACAGCTGAGAACTGAAACACGACTCTGCCCAGTTCCAGCTGTCTCCTACACCCTTAAACGCACTCATTCGAACCACGTCTCAGTTAAAAACACAAGATCAGGAGGCTCAGGGGTCTTTGGGAGCAGAAGACTGGTTTTCATCCACTCGGAGCAAACAGCAAGTCTGAGTGATGGCAGTACAGCAGAGGGCATGAGTTGTGTGTCGGGTGGCACTTGGAAGAAACGAGGTTTTGTAAAGTTTCACTTTGTGGCTCTATAGAAAGGTGAGTGTTTACCAGGAAACTCATTCTGGAAACAGGCAACTTAAGAAGCCGTCGCTGTGTTTTGTTTTTATTTACCTGAACTTTTTTGAAATATTATGAGGCGAATGGCTCATAATCAGTACTTTGCTGCATGCAAAGTACTGATACCCCTTGAACTTTGGAATATTTTTTCCACAACTTTATTGTATCCTTCTGGTATTTTATGTGCAAACCAACACAAAGCATTGCATAATTACAAAACTGATGTTATATATGTTTTTTTATATATATATTTTACAAACAAATGTCTGAAAAGTGTAGGTGAATTTGTGTCTAGCTGTCTTGAGCCAAGTCTTGTCTGGAATCCTCAATAGGATTTAGGTCTTTGACTGAACCATTCCACTGTAGCTTTGACTGTATATTTAGTTGTTGTCCTGCTGAAAAATGAACCTCTCCCTTCGTACAAAGTTTTTTTTTTCCAGCCTCTAACAGATTTTCCAGATTTACTCTGTACTATGCATCGATCTACAGAAAAACATCCCACTGCAAATTATTATCATGACCTCAGTTCACTGGTATATTGAGGGTCATAATCAGCATTAGTCTTCTGCCATTGTTTTGCAGATAGGCTACAAAAATGCCTGACTATACGTGGATGGCTGCAGAGCCGTAAAAAACATACAAGACTGTAAACTCTACTACCAAAACTCGTTTTGTAAAACAATTCCCTCAACTGAGCTTTAGATATCTGCAGCTCCTCCAGAGTTATCATCTGCTTCCTGTGGCCTGTTAGTTTAAGAGGACAGCCATGTCTTGACACTTCCACTCGTTGTTTGTACCTCCCTTTAAACCTCTCCAAAACATATCCCTGACCTGTTTGCTCTGTTCCTTGGCCTTCATGATGCTGCTAAAGTTTCTGTGCAAACCTTTAAGCTCTTGACACATTTAAGTCCATTCACAGATTAACATTATTAAAGTTGTGTTACTTCTGAAGGGAATTGGACGCACTGGAGTGAAGAGGGCTGAATATTTATACTTGTCACACTTTTCAGATTTTTTTATTTGTAAAGAGCATGAATGATTTTTCATTTCTGCATGTTTTCTTCAATACCATTCCTATTACTAAAAGACCTATATAAAACCAAGACAGCAATAAAGAAGTTTGTGACATGACAAAATATTTCAATAGACTTTAATCATTTAGCAAGGCACTGTATGGACAATAAATTGATTTGTTGATTTTTTTTAAACTGAATGATTGTCTTGTCCTTGTTCTTTTCTATTTTATCATCAGTTTTTGAAGATGATCTGTTCAAGGGGTCTGTGACTGAGGAGCAGATAAAAGGAGACAAGCGTCGAACAGAGCTCAGTATCTTCTCCGCTCATGAACCAGAGGTGGACACACCCACAAATGTCTCGTTTAACACTTTTCTAGCCCCGTTTGGAGCAAGCCAGGTGAGTCAGGTGGTCCTGAGCTTATTTATGTGCTTAGCTCCCCTCCAGTGGTAACTCTGCCCCTCGACTGTTGGACAAGCAGCAGCTCGGAAGGAGACCAAAGTTGCACAAAAACCTACCTGAGTGACAGCATCTGTTGCGGTCATGTGCGAGACTGCACACCATCTCGGGCCCTGGGTGGAATTACCAACAAACAATTTCTGGAAGGTCACCAGAGCCGATTCATAAAAAGCAGACACAATAAATGATGAGAAACTCTCTCCCGATGAACGACAGGAGCTACAAATTGAAGACACCGTGTGGCCTTTCCTTTCTGCAGCTGAGAGATCAAGGATTTCAGCACAGATCTAGCGAGGTTCACAGTTTTTCCTGGAGATCATCTGTTCATATCAGAGAAGGATTGTGTTGCATGCATCACTTTAAACTTAAACGATCCATTCATCCCCTGGGTCTCAGAACCTGTCTTCACAGCTGCTGAATTTGAGCAAACTCAGCTGAAAATGCCTCACAAAACTTCAAAGAATCCCTCAGACAGCAAAAAGCACTCCAAAAAGGACAAATCATCTGGTCATCATCATGGAGCACAGGCTGCCAAAAAACAGAGAGTACATCGCAGCAGCAGACCTGGAAGCAGCAAGAAAGCCACCTAGCAACTGGGGAAAATCATGTTTATTGAGAACATTGAGGGTGGGCTCGAAGCCAAGGAGGCTAAACTTGTAAAGGAGACCAGTGTGGGAACTGAGAAGGGCACGGGCAGCCTCATGGCAAGAAGAAAAAGAAACATGGTCACAAAGCATCGGCTAATCATGAAACAGAGGCATCAGTTGATGTAGAGCATGGAGCAAAACCAAAATCTGCAAAAGAAAAGGTGGATATGTTGGAGGGGATCAAAGCTGAAAAAGTTCAGTGGGATGAAAATCAGTCTGTTGTCGAAGCAAAAACCAGCAGCCAGAAGATATTGTGTCTCCTGGAAGCTCCCCATCTCTCTGATCTTCAAGAGATCACGAATGACGATGTTATTAAAAGACGCGTGTCAGGGGATACGTTTGGCAAAATTCTCAGTGCTTTGGAGTCCAAGCTATCAAAGACTGATACTCCGTTAAAAGCAAAAGGGGAAGAGACTCAGCCAAAAACCACAGCTGTTCAGAAGAAAGCACACGGCGAAGTGGTCAAACAGAAGATCCCTCCAAGGAAGGTGAGGGCCCTCATCAAGCACTGCCAACAGGAGCTGTTTATTCTGGGACAGGCTCTTCTATATTCGTCCTTATTTTGTTGTGATGTGTACAGATCCGAAAGTGGTAGAGGCCATCCAGGTAGTGTCGGTGAGCGGAGACCCCTCAGAGTATGTGTCTTTGGTGTCAGTTTGCTGGAGTGCACTCAGACTACACTGTGACCTGGAGCAGAGACGCGCACCCTGGCTCAGATTAACAGAAGGTATTTACTGTCATTTTACATGGCTAAATTACCAAACCATGCAGACACTGCCGCATAACACAATTTAAGATACTATATATCAGTCAGTCTCAGCCCCTTTAAGGTTTTGTCAGAGCGTCTCTTTGGATTCAGGTCTCTGGACCATTCAAATTGTTGACAGTGCAATAACATAAATCATAATTGTGGCTACAGCTTCATCCATCTTCACCTAAACTTAGACCAGCTTCCCTGTCCATTCTAAAGAAAACCATTCCCATAGCATGACTTTACCAACACCATGTTTCACTATAGCACCCTGTGTCTTATGAATGACTTTTCTGCAAGCTGGAAATGGTTTTTCCTCTAGAGTTACCATAGTTTTCTATGACTACTTCCCAAGCCTGCCATTTTAAGATGGCCAATTATCTTTACACTGCTGCATTCCTACCGTATTCTTTTACATTTGAGATTATTAGACTTCGCTTTGTAAGATGTTCAAAACTTGGAATGTTGTTTTAGAACCTAAGTCTGCTTTTAATTTGCACATCTTTAGACAGACTTCTCTGTCTGCTGTGTTTCTTGGTTTTCTTGATGATGTTTCTTCAATAATGCTCTGAGGCCTTTTATAGAACAACTGTGTTTTTATTTGATATTAAATTACTCTCAGACAGACAGACTCTCTTCACCAGTTAGGTGACTTCTGACAGCACTCTGGACTTTATTTGGGGCCCTCAGAGTAGAGTGAATACAATTAGCACAACCTTTTGGTTCAGATTCATGTCTGAGCCATGTGTCACTCCATTACACGATTATGTGCAATTTTGTTCTGGTCTGTCACTCAGTGTCCCAATAAAACATGTCAACGTTTGCGGTTGTAATGGGACAAAATGTATGAAAAAAATAAGTTCAAAAGGTAATAAATATTTATGCACTGCACTGTATCTATTCCAGCTTCTTTGCCACTCCCCATTCCAGTGCATAGAGTTACATTTCCTTTAAATGTTCTTTGACCCCTTTGATAGTGTGGTGCAAATGGCTCAGGTTCAGAAACAGTAACTGATCTCTAAGCAAGGATTAGCATGCTCATAGGATAGTAGAAAGACTGCTGGAAGGAAATAAAAAAACATCTGAATAGGATGTTTTTAAGCTGGCAATGAAATCCAAACACAGTGACGTTTAGAAATCTTTTTTTCATTTTCATTACTAAATTGCGTGTGTCTCTGAAGTGCAGGAGATGAGAGCAGAGTGTCAGTGATCATCACCAATGCTTCCCACAAAGATCTGGGCAAGTACGAGTGCCAGCTCAGCTGCTCCCATGGCTCTGTCTGCCTAGACTACGTGCTCACATATGAAGGTAAAAAAAAAAAAAAAAACGATTGTAAAATGCGCGATCCAAGAAAAATAAGCACATTAAGATCATCTTTTTTCTATTCTCGCTGTGTTTTAGTTTTAAGTGAGATTGTGATACCTGCATCCCCAAAGATAATTTCATGTGAGTACTTATTAAAGGCTACTTTGAATAATTCAGTTCAATTTGATTTTTTGCAATAAATAAAGAATGAGAAGAAGGAAGACAGTACAAAGTATGCATGTTCTTCTCTCAGCTATGCCTGAAGAGTTGTGCAGTGAAGAGGAGGATGCTCACTGCTCGAGGCTCTTGTTCAAAGAGGATTTCCTGTCGGATCAGTACTTTGGAGAGAACCAACCCATCAGCATACTCACAGAAAAAGTTCACTTTGGCGAGGGCATGCATCGGCGGGCTTTCCGGACGAAGCTGAAGGCGGGTCAGATCCCCCTGCTGGTACCGGGACTCTCCTGCGTGCTCAAGGTGCACAACGCTATCAGCTACGGGACCAATAACAACGACGACCTGCTTCAGAAGAATTTCCATTTGGCTGTAGAGGTAAAGAAAAAGACAAATGGTTTTATTGTGAATGTAAAATACATCATTGTGATATTACTTCAGGAAGAGAAGCAGGTAATTTTATGCAGTTATAAACATTACAGGATTCATATTCCTAAATTAAAAATATTGTCCTTTCTCATTTTTGTTGTTGTTAAGCCAGTCTGTAAATGATTTAAGTCATTTTCCATTTAGAAAACCCTTTTTTTTTTAACTTTCTGAATGATGTCTTGAGATGTTGCTTGAATATTTTTACATCAAGTTCTTTATTCATGATCATCTGTTTTGTAAAGTGCATCAGCCTCTGCAGCAGCAAAAACCTCAAACAACACGATGCTTCCTACTTTGCATGTCACAGTTGAAACAGTTTTTTCAGGTTGCCATTCCTCCCTGTGTGACAAATAAAATAAATTTGGCTTATTTTATTGTAATATCTTGAATAATAATATTTTCAGCAAATTGAAGAAAAATCTTAAAATTAAAAATTAGCAAATGCATATCTAGTTATGTAAAAAATAAATTATTACCAACATTTTCAACACATGGAAATAAACAAGTATTTAATTTTTTTTTTTTAAAGTGTGCAAGGTCGGCAGCTAAATAAAATATAAGATAATTTTCTGAAAAAACTTGTGCAAGAAAACATTTTAATTTTATTTTGTAGATGTTATTTTCGTAATATTAATAACTTACTTGATTAAATTAGATCTTTGTTATTTTGACTTGTATTTTCTGCTATCAACAGTTATTTTTATACTCATATATTGTATATTTGCTTTATTTATTTATGGCTTTTTTTCTCTTTTATTATGTCATTTTTGGCAAAAGGTAATATTTTCTGTAAACCTTTGACTGCCTTTGTGGGTGGAGATGTTATAGAAAGTGTTGCTTATTCTGCAGGAGTGTCAGGTCCAGAACACAGCGAGGGAGTACATTAAGGCTTACACATCAGCAGCTCAGTCTGTCGAAGCCTTCGGAGACGTCCCAGAGTGAGTGACATGTTTACCAGTCTGCAGCTTCTCCACGGCATCCATTATCTGTACAGACTAGCATTGCCCTGCTGAATTTCCTCCACCAGGATCATTCCCATCTACCTTATCCACCGTCCATCCAATGATATCCCCTACGCAACACTGGAAGAGGAGCTCATCGGAGACTTTGTCAAGTATTCTGTGAAGGACGGTAAAGAGATCAACGTGATGAGACGGGACTCGGAGGCAGGGCAGAAATGCTGCGCTTTCCAACACTGGGTCTACCATAACACAGAGGGCAATCTGCTGGTTACTGACATGCAAGGTCAGGGGAGCAAGTACTGCAACAAACTGTGCAATAAATCATAATGTGTGAGTGCTAAAATCCATGTGATTTTTTCTCAGGAGTGGGCATGAAGCTTACTGATGTGGGGATAGCAACTTGTAAGAAAGGGTGAGTTTTTCCCTTCCCTTAAAATAAGCATTAAAAATAGTCTATGCCGGTGACTCAACAAGATATGTCTTTACAGGTATAAGGGATTCAAAGGAAATTGTGCAACCTCCTTTATTGACCAGTTTAAAGCTCTGCATCAATGCAACAAGTATTGTGAGATCCTGGGACTCAAATCTCTCCAGCCTAAGGCCAAAAAGGTCTCGGCTGCTCCAAAACCCAAACCCCCATCTTCTGCCGCCCCTAAAAAGAAGACATTTGGGCCAACAGTGAAGAACAAGTCATAGCATCAGGAGAACATTGAGCAAACGATCTTTGTTCCTACTTGGACTTTGTACTTCAGAGTTTCCGGCATATAAATCAATTTGTTGGTTGTTGCAGAATGCTGCAGCACTAAGGAGACATTTTACTCTGAAATAAGAGACCCTCATGCAGCCAGAACCTGGTGTCTGATCTGAACAATTGAGAAAAAGCGTTGTATTTATTTCTGTGACAATTTCTACCTGTATCCTAGAGTTTTTATTGTTCAAGTCTGTGAAAACTTGTGATATATTTAGGTAATACTTAATCAGCTATAAACTGTCATGTCTTAGAGTGCTTGGTTGGATAATTTTCTTCACAAATAGTTTATTCTATTTTTTTAATTATGATCTCAAACTTTGATTTAATCATTTTAAAAAAACAAAAAATGTATGCCAATAGACAGTATGTGTGGTTGCTTTGAATTTCTTTGGATTGTCTGGTGGTAAAGCTGAAATTGATTTCTTACTTGGATGAAAAGCTTGGGACTTTTCCTCTGTGTACATATTAAAGTTCATGGGATATATAGATTTAGTAAGATTTATGTGTGTTTCAATTATTTCAGTAATTTAAAATGTCCAATTTGGCTTTAGGAGATGATTAGTGCTTGGGATACAAAAGATGATAATGACATGATGATATAAAGTCACCATAATGTGTTGAGTATCTTTACAGTTCATAATGGACATAAAAAGTGCACACATATTTTTCTAATGCAAATAATAGTGCATAGTAAACTATTTTAAAAATTTTTTCCTGTTTTCAGTAACATATGTGCCATTAGTTGTTTCTCTGAAAAACCAACCTGGTTGTGTACATGTGCAATCTGTTTACATTTTTCAAATTTCTTATTTCTCAGGAACAGCTTGGAGCATCCACTTTATTATTTTATCCAGAATCACAAAATGCCAAATAGAATAGCAAGTAAAACTTATACATACATAAGTACTGCTTACATGTCAAAAATTTTGGAATTAATCAAGAACAGAAAACATCAAACTGTGGTTTCACATGCAAAATAATAATAATAATAATAATAATAATAATAATAATAATATAATAATAATAATAATAATAATGATGATGATGATGATGATGAGGATGATGATGATAATAGTAACAATAATAATAATGACATAAAAATAAATACATAAAGAAATAGGAATGAACTAGGGTCGCTTCAAAGGTCTCAACATCATGTTTTTCAACAGATTTTATGTCTTTTTCCATCCCTGCTTTTGCTGCGGCGGTGCAACATGTCCCCTGCTGTCACCACCTCTGACACACGGCCACACATGTTCATCCTCTGCCACGACATTAAGAATGGAAAGTACAGACGCTGAAGAGCGCAAAACATATAGGGAGAAAATAAATCAACTGCAAAAACCCCGACTTGAAGCGGGTGCACTGAGGTCCTTTCCGCACTGTAGCTATTTAGTGTGATAATGGCGTTTGATAGAGAAAACAACACCATTGTCACACTCCACAGCTCTGGAGGACAAACTTTGCCGCAGGTGTGCAGATGGAGATTGTTGGAGGGGAGGAAGGGGCGACCTGGAAGAACAAAAGGATAATCTGGAGTTTAGTTTGTGGAGTGAATGAAAGAAGCAGAAAGGCATCAGTCCTAATTGTAAGAAACGGGGATAAAAAAAAACAAACCAAAAAAAAAAAAAAACACAGAGTGACACAGGAAACACGTTTCTACTTTTAGCAGGCTTATCCAAAGTGTCCAAGTCCAACCGAGTGTCTTGTTACTGATTGTGGGGATGACTGCAGCTGTGTGAGAATGTGACTGATCAAAGAGGAAAAGGTTTCCGAAAATATAAACTTTAAATAAGAGTTGGTCCAGAAAGATGTCACACAGGCACGAAAATTTACCCAGTATAACATCCAAACAAATTTGCCAACGTTCATCTTTTGTGACATTCTCCTGTTAAATTTTTTTAATTAACATCCAAATAAATATGTAAGTTTAACACATTATTAAAGCAAGAACCTACCTTCTGTTTCGATGCTTTCTATAGATACATTCATTGATGTGCTGCATTGGGCGTCCAGCTGCCCTCTGCTCTGAGCTCCTTGTATCTTTGTAAATTTAAGCCCAGTAGTGCTGCTGAGTTCACAAGGGTGACTACGTCGTGCATTTGGGTTAAGCCGTCCCATCCAAGTCTTTATGTAGACAGAGCAGAGTTTGGACAAACAGCCAGTTGCACATTAGTGATAAGCTACGGGGGAAGTATTGATCGACCCTGACCAAAGGCAGGGGGTGAAAGGTGGAGGAGGGAGACGGGAATTTTGCCCTGACCAAAAAGCTACGCTGGTCAGGGCCTCTGTTTCCACCATGCGCTGAAATGAACAAACTGACACAAGCAATGTGTTGGTAAAGATTCTTACAGAAGAGAAAATGCATTGTGAAACATGCAGCCATGAAGCGGCGAACAGGCAGAGCATCGGATTAGACATATGTTTGCTGGATGAGGGGAAAATGTTAAAGCCAGAATGTGTCGGTGTTTAAATCCTGATAACAGGAAGTGAAACCCAAGAAGCTTTACTGACAGCGCTTTGCAGTTTAATTCACATTTTGTCATGTCACAACCACAAACTTTAAGGTAGTTTATTGTAAATGTACATGTGAGCAACAAACACAAAACAGCACTGTAAAGTGAAAGGAAACAGATAAACAGCTGTAAAATTTATCATATTTTATCCTCATGGCAATCTGAAAGGTATGGGGTGAATTTGTATTGAGCTCCCTTTTCTCTGGGCCCCTTACATGAAACATATTGGAACCAGGTGCTGTGACGTGTAATTTAGCGACATTATGAATCCAGATCCTCTGGATTCACAGAATATTGGTGAGCAAAAGCCTGGTGAAGGCCAAGGAGCAAAACAGACAGGTACGGGAGAACGTTTTGGTAAAGTAGGTTTACAATATAAAAAACAAAGCACTGTTCAATCCATCATCTGAAAATGGAGAAACTCTAAATCTATTAAAACATTGTGGTCCACCTAAACTGCCTGGCTGAGCAACGACGGCGTTAATCGGAGCTGCAAGCTAACTGTGTCGGAGCTGTAGAGATCCAAAGGTCTGAATCTGTTTACCAGGCGACTATTAGATGCAATCCATAAATCTGACTAAAATGGAGGAGGAGAAATAGAAACTCCATAAGATATCCAGCTGTCAGTGTTTCACAAACCCTTTTCTAACTCAAACCACTTCAACAAACATTTTAGCCGCACTGTCAATTCAGCCTTTTCACTAAACATTAAGCTGATTTAAAATCCTGTGACAATAAAAGTAACTTTTATCATTTCTAAGTAAGTAACTTTGATACTCTATGAAATACATGTGACCTCTGGTAACTAAACAGGCCCAAACCATGATGCTGCCACCACCATGCTTCACAGTTGGCAGTAATCTTAGGTTTGACTCTCCCAAACTTACTTCCAGACATAATGATTGTCTGGCCATAAATCCTTATTCAGAAATGGCTTAATTGACCTTATGTTGCAAATTAAAAACATCATTTTTAAGATTATTAGCTAATAAGAGCTTCAGTGTTTGACACAGCCTATTAAACAGCATTCGCCCATTTATAAGAAAGCTATCATTTCACAAAAAGTATTTTAGCTTTGTTTTAAGAAGCTGAAATAATTCAGGTCTAAGAAGAAGTTGGCGCTTGATTTGTTTGTGACCAGCTGGGGTATAGGAGTGCTTGATAAAATGTCCCCAGAGAGGCCGGTGGCTTTTATTTGCTCGTCCTTGGAGCTGATAACTCTCAGATTGCCTGTGTGAATGAACTGAGGTCCCTTCACCACACCGAACCAGGTGCACGTGCATGCAGATTGCAAAGAGCGACCGCAAGGCCTGCAGGTAGCACTGTCCACAGGTGGCGGGGACAAAAGGCTCTGGAAGTGTCTTACGCACTCTTGGAGTAATTCTATTTGCCTGGCCACTAAAGTTTAAACAGTTACTAAACCATTCCCAGAAGGCAGCAGCGATCTTGAAGGTTTTGGAGCAGAGATTTTTTTTTTTTTTTTTTTAGCAGCCGAACAGTGATCCCAAACACATTAAACCTGGTTTGGGAGTAGACAAAAAGAAGCATGAAGAGTGATAAAAAAAAAAAATCCAGAAATAATTAAAAGTTCTTGTCCGAGAAAAAGGATACTGCAATTAATTAATGAAATGAGACTGTATAAAAGTGTCATTTTATTTAAAGTTAAATGAACCACAGGGTTGCAGAAAGTAGTGGAATCATCAACAAAAATTATATTTCTCAGCATCCATTAAAAAAAGAAATCCTGATTAAAAAAAAAAAAAACAAGTCAGAATTGAAATCACTGGGGTAAGAAACGTACAAGAGAAAAATATCAAGAAACAGCTCGAAACAGGATATGAACTTAAGAAAATGAAGTGTCTTGTTCACTTCTGTTTCTACCGTAGCAGCAGTCCAAATTTACAGAGTATTTATATTGCACTAGGAAGTGCTCTGAAAAGGAAAGAACCACATTCAAGTAAATGAAGAAAAAAAAACATAATTCAGGCGACATGACCTCAGAGTGATCTATAAAGTGCCCTTTAGGTTCAATTGTGTTAGAAAAAACAGAAACAAGGAAGAGAAAAGAAAAAAAAGAAACGAGAAACATTTGTCTTTGTAAGAAACGTGCTGCTTTGTATTCAGCGATAATCAGCTTTTCACACCAACATTCACTCACACGCGGCTTCATTTTAGTGTTGATCAGTAATACTTCTGTTAAATGTAATACATACATATTTATATATCATGAATTACTTAAAATGCACTCCTTCCCCTGGTCAAAAAAAAAAAAACAACAACAAAACAAAAGAAACAAAGGAAAAAAAAGAGAAAACAATTTTACAGCATCATGAATAGCAACAGACATGAGGAGCATTAAGTTAATCACAGAAACTTGCCACAGTTTGACATTTCCCTTCATGACCTCGAGAGTTACATTTCCAAAGTTACTACGTAGTCAAAAGCAAACACAACGCACAGTTCCATGCTGCTTTTAAAGCACTACAGTAAAAATGTTTTTGTTTTTTTGTTTTTTTTTCAAACACATTTGCTATCACCATAACAAATGATATGGACTCTTTTCGCCCCCGGAACGAACCAGACCTGAACTTCAAACGTCATGTCAAAAACGGTTTCTGAAATAGCAAGGAACATTGTTCATTAGTACAAATACATACCATATTTTCCTGTCAGTTTACAAAGGATTAATTAAAGAAATTATGTTGTGTGATCACAAAATTATGCATATATATTAAAAAACAAAAACAAGGGAAATCATAGTGGGGCTTATGTCATGTACTCTTATTCAAGCTTCATTAATGACTTTTAAAAAAAGAAATGTTTAGTTTATAAAGGCTGCAGCAGCACTATCTGATCACGTCCCAGACAAGGCTCTACGGAGGGGTGTCTCTGATTTCCTGAAATGTGACTGGCTAGCATTCCTAAGGTAACCTGGTGTTGGGTTAAATATTTGAATAAGATCTACGATCGTA